TACATATATACATATATACATATACATATTTATATAATCATCCACATAATGCGCAGTGAAGGCAGCCCAAGCAGAACGCACCAGACGGAATACGTACCTTAGCTTTTACATTTTTGATGATATGGCCTTCGTCCAGTATACAGTAGCTGAAATGTATCTTAGAGAAAAAGTCCAAATCATTGCGCACCACATCGTACGACACAATGATCACGTCATGGGCTGTGTATGTGCGTTGAAGACTGTGCAATGGGATGGAAGACAGCAGGTTGAGTAATGGATTCAGCTAAGAGATGCTAATGCAGCACCAACACACAGACATAGACACAGACAGACACGCACGACACATATACACACAAACGTACTTCCTGCGATCGGCGGGTGGCCCGTGGTACATCAGTGGCTTAAGAGCGGACGTGAACTTTTCGATCTCAAAGTACCAATGCGCCACCAATGTCGATGGACAAATAACCAGGTGTGGTAGTACCGGTTCATCCCGGTTTTCCTCGTGAATCTTGCGTTGCTGTTCGTTGTCGTACACCATCAGGCAGATGGACTGCAGAGTCTTGCCCAGACCCATATCTATAACAATGATGGTATAAAGCAGCACCTATAAGTTATGTATAGCGCGAGTGAACGTACTAGTACGTGACAAATACCTGGTGCATTGTTGGTATAAAGCAGTATTTATATGATACGTATAGTGCGAGTGAACGTAATAGTATGAGATCCAAACCTGGTTTATTGTTGGTATAGAGGTACTTGATATATAGAGCGCGTGATAATACCAATTTGATCCATTGTCAATTAACTTGGGCAGAAACCCAATAATATACACTCATATATACATGCATGGACTATCATATATAGTCAAAAAGCGTATGCGCCATTCACACTCCTATATACATGTTTTTATATCCACATACCATCACCCAGCACCCCGTGCAAGCCATACTGTCGTAAAAAGCATAGCCAGTTGAACCCCTCCTGCTGATACGCGCGCAGATCCGCATTTACCGTCGCTGGCTTCCTGCAGAGTCCGAACATTTGCGACAAATCAGGAAAAATAAATTGAGACGAATTCGTGACCAAAAACAGAGTATCGATAGATGAGAACCAAGACAATGCAGGGGCAGTAATGTAGATTGAGGTAGCTTATGTGTATACCATCGGAATGGAGACTGAGCAATCGAGAACAAGTACTCGAGCAGAATAGAATGTAAACTGGATTAATTTACGACGTACATTAGAGCAATTTACGACAAATCTGGATTCTGAGAATGCACACGATTCATACCATGCGCAATCGCAGGAACTCTCCAACTCTGCGTGTACACACACAAAAATGTGTACCTACATACTAACCAACAAACACGCATACGTACACAAAACGAGCCATTGGCACATAGCTTTGGAGAATAGCGTAACTCTTAGTTCGTCATTTCTCTCAGTGACTGTAACTGGCTGGGTAGATCGAACACAAACACATCACGTCATATAACGCTGCACTAATATCACAGGGGCATGTCTACGTAAGTATATTTGAACATAAATGGAACCGCACGTGTAAATTAATACACAAGCACACAAACACAAATGAATGAGAAACATGCACATGAAAACGAATGTACACACTTTGGTGTATACCCAAGTAGTTTCAAGTACTCGCGTTGCTTGACACTGAGTGCTTTGAGTTGATGAGAGTAATATGAGGGGTCTGCTATAACTGCTTCTAGAAGCACGATACGCACACGTATATACACCGATGAATCTCCATATATATACATACAAACGTACGTACATACATACATACATACATACTTAATATATATATATATATATATATATATATATATAATATATATATATATATATATATATATATATATATATATATATATATATATATATATATAATATATATATATATATATATATATATATATATATACTATACTATAATATATATATATA